TATTTGTAAGGAGACTTGGAAAATATAGTAAAAGGAGCATAGTTTTTTTTTCTTTCTAATAACTAAGTTTCTTTGTAATTTTATGTAGTTTAGGTTGCATGTAGAATCATTTAAGTTCGACATAATCAATCTTGCTTGTGGAGTGATTCGAATCTCAAATAAATGTTCTTGGTTGAGATATTTGATCAACAAGAATTATTTAAAGCTAGACATAATCGATATTGCTTGTGGAGTGATTTTAATCTCAAACAATATTTTTGTCTTGAGATATTCGATCAACAAAGTAATCTGAATCTTACTCTCCTTGTACTGATTCCTTATCTTATCAAAACAAGTGATAAATTTGTAGGTTAGTAAATAAACCGACACGAAAGAAGAGTCGTTTCTCATTCGCATCACATTTATTATGAAACTCTTACAATTTGATCTAAAAACTTTGTTGAAAAACGAGACATTTAGCTCTATTCAATAACCAAAAAACGATAAGGAATCAACCGAAGTAAAATTTTTGAAACGAGTTACCTTGATAATTAAGATCAATAATAAAGAAAACTCGTGATTCAAATCATTCCACGAGATAGTTTGAAATGTCAATTAAACGAGTAATGTTGAAAAATTATGTACTCCCTTTCCCGTAAAATCCTCGAGGTAAAGTTGGGAGATTTAGTCGGGATCGATAATTTGAGAAAAATAGGCAAAAAGGCTAAGGAAGAGGGGCTAGGAATAAGATTGACTATGCGAGGGGCACAATGGGAGCCATGAGGTCCTATGATACCAATTATTGAGCTCTCCCTTTAAATCCCAATCATTGATGTAGCTATAAAGTCAAGGACCAATTGTTATGTATTTATTTATTATGATTTATTTAATTTCTCTTCCCACACTTGAAATAAATAAAATAAAGCTATTTTCTGATGGGCCGTTTTTGTATGTCTTATTGGGCTTTATGGGCCAAAAGGCCCATTTAATATATGGGCTGAGATACTGAGCTCTGGCCCGGTCCCTGTCCACTCTACTGACAACCGAACACGTGTTGAGCTGTGCTGTTTTGGTATATTTCCTTTGTACGAATATGTGTGATTGGGACCTTCTAGAAACATCCACAAATTTTGATGGAGACCACATAAAAATTTCCAACGGTATAATTTTGATTTAAATCCCATTTTCGTATTAGTCTTCAACTTCTTTTTTAGGGTTGATTTTAATTATTTAATTACAGTATAGTTCAAACAAACATGACTACTATTTTATTGTTTTACTTTGAATTGCCCATGCCGTATAAAAATAAAAATTAAAAATAACGTTATAACTTTTAAAATAATAAAATGTACTTTTCACAAATAAAACAATTTAAAAAATTAAAGAAAAAAACTAAATTAATAAAAATAATTTTAAAAAATACTCTTCAAATTATTAAAAAAAATCCTAACTATATTAAACTTTAAATATATATATTAAAGGATTAAACAATATCATTAAGTATTAATGGTTTTTTTTTAAATTTTATAGTATTTTTTTTTAAACATAGTATAACAAAAATGATATTATTTAGGTCTTCAAAAAAGTGGGAGATTATTATTAAAATTATTTAAAGTTTAAATATGTTTTTAAAACAAAATATTCATCATTTTCATTTATGATAGTTTTGATTTAATTTCATTTAGGATAGTTTTCTTTTAAAATTAACGGTAAGAATATATATATATCTATATATATATATATATATATATATATATATATATATATTAATTTAAGGGTGTTATCAGAATTTTTAAATTTGTAGGAAAAATTACAAAATTTAGCAAAAAAAAAAAAAAAAAAAAAAA